GACTACAATGTAAACCTCCATAATTAAATTTTTTTTTGAACTCTTTCTCAGTTTTATCCATAAGGAGGATATCATCAGCGAAAAACATACACCAAGGTACATCTTCGGTACATCTTCTTGTAAATGTCCAGAAAGAACATCTATAACTAAAACAAAAAGATATGGGCGTAAAGCAGATCTCGCATATAATCCAACTGAAAAAGGAAAATACTTGGCAATCCTCTTCTTCAAACACAAGTAACAGCTTTAGTATATTAATAATTTTCCAATTTAATTATTTTTGTTGCATTTAATTTTTGATACATCCGATTAACGATCCTTTTGCTCCAATGTTTTTCACGTAGATTATTATACAAAAAAATTATGCATGATTTTTTTTTATTTTGGTCTTGACCTTGTTTTTATTTTCTGAATGCAGTTCTGATGATCCTCACAAAGACGTACAGCTACTGTTGACAAAATATAAGGAGGTGCCGAAGGAAGAGCCTCAATTGAAGATGCTCTTGCCACATATTACTTCGACATTTGGTCTTGATAAATCTGTTTCACAAACAATAGCTGAGTTGAAGAAGCTTCAATCAAATAATAATGCAGCAGGTATTCTTTTTTTTTCCCCCTCATTATTATTCATTGCTCATCAATCATGGAGTAAACTGAGAGCCCATGATCCACGTGATTCATCTTGGATTCATTCGAAAGGCCAGGGGTGGTCATGTTTCTTCATGCAAAAATAATTGCAGTCCTATTAGTTGTAGTAGTGTTTATTCATCATGTTTTATTTCTTAAAATTTGATTATAAATAAATAAATAAATATTGTAATTTATGTTCAACTCCTAATGAAACACGTTTTCTTACAGTGGCAGAATGGGCAAGGGATGCCCTTCTAGGTCTTGGAAAAGGCGCTCCTTTTTCTCTTGTTCTTACTCACAGGCATTTCTCCCAAGTTGCATCCGCATCTGAAAATGGCCAACACCCTTTATCCACAGTAAGTTTCCATTGATAAATTTTCTTGTGATATCTTGCCATTCCTCACATGACTGTTACTTCAGTTAAATGGTGTGATGAAAACTGAGTATCGAATAGCATTGAGATCTTCAATCCGAAATGATTTTGCCGAAGGTGTTCGTGCTGTCTTGGTCGACAAAGATCAGGTATGCCGATATTGTTGCAAGTTCAGGTTACATGGAATCAAAACTGCTGTTTTTGTTATTGGTAACTGTTTGATGCCAATTTAGATCGTGCAACCTAAAAAAATTCTGTAAAACTTATATTTATTTTTCCTCGGCTAATTTTATTTTTTATTTCCTGGTTGCGAGCCCCTTCATGCTGTATTTTACCACCATGATTGCATGCCACTTTACATTCATGTTCCTTTTTATGAAGACTTCCTATTCCTTTAGTTCAATGGCACCCTGAGGATTTCTTAGAACATTGTGACTCAAATTGAATGCCAAGCGACGAAGGAACGAAATGCGTGGAACTTTTTTTTGATCATTTATCTCTTCACATCATTTTAATATGATCAAACATCTTTTCCTCAAGTGACCTTTCCTGATTTTTCCTAGCATCCAATCAGAACCTAAATTTTGTCAAAATTTCTATGTGCCTTCTCAAGCATTCTTTAATTCTCTGTTGGTGTGAGGCAGAAACCCAAGTGGAATCCTCCAAGGTTGGAAGATGTTGACATGAACGAAGTGGAATCCTTGTTTGATACATTGACCCCTGAGGATGAGTTGCAGTTATAGTAAAATGATGATATAGTCGGAAATGGCTCCACACAGATGCAACAATAAAATGAAGGATTTGGTATTCTCTTTTGTCTTATGAAACAAAATTTTGCTGAATAAATGATAATTCTAATTAAGAGCATGTTGTTTTTCAATTTGGATTAGTTTTGATTTCAAGTTATTTGAACTATATGTTGAATTCAGCTTTGTGTGCTGAAATATTTGCTAAGATGGAGATGCTTAGCATTGAATGAAAATTTCGCACCTAAATATAAATTGGAAGTGTAACACATATAAACTACATTCTAATCAATTTGTTAATGTAAGGATAAAAGATCATTGCCATATAATTTTGTCAATGATCTGCATAAAAAAAATGTCTCAAAATCAATTTGTGGAAGTTACTAAAGTGGATAGATTGAATTTCTTGCCTTCAGGATTGTTCAAAAAAAATCTTAAGAAAGCTTAGAATTTAATTGATCGAAGTTGACTACCTTGGCATTAAATTATCTTTCTTGATGGAGGAGATCAATGCCACTAATAATTCATGAATTGGAGGTGTGCTTGAGAGCAAGTTTTTCAACAAGTTTTGCCACCAAAAAATGATGGAGAAAATTCACCATTTTTGTGGGGTGAAATGTTTATTATTTTTAAGACTAATTCAATGTCATAAAGATCTCATGATTTCATTGCAGGTAAATTGCCAAAATTTTAGGCTTGAGATGGCTACTTGTGCAAGAACATTCTGAAGATGATTTAGGTAGGGAAAAATATTTACGTGCGGAGCTCTGCGTAATTAAAATGAGCCCCTAACCAAAAGTGTATGTCAGTGAATCCTATTTTAAAAAATTTAAAAGTTTTTTTAAAGTAAATATTACTTATGTGGCTCATTTAATTGGAGCCCGTACCCAGCTCTGTGTACGGGCTCTGTATGTAAAATTTTCTCTTAGGTAGGTCGGATGGATCTTAACATCTGCTAGAGCGAGATATTTTAGGTGGGAGGCGCGTGGGTATGGGTGATGTTTAAGGAAATGTAAGAGGAAATTGATAGAGATGGGCCCCACTTTATAAATTTAATCATTTTAATCCTTAGGTGTTCAATTCATGCAATGCCAAATTTTTTTGGACTTTTACTCATATCAATAATCATTTTTTTTATAACAAATAAGATTGGAGTTTGTTCAACCATTCATATATGTTTTAGGTCTTAGTTATATTTTTGAGTTCTTGTAGTAATTTTGAGACGGAATTGGATGATTTTGATACTTGACAAAGCAGTCATTTTTAGTACTTAACATGCTAAAATCAATGATTATTTGACCCTTCAAATTAATGTTGGAAGAATATTTTATTATGCTTTTGAGTTTCTTGAATGGGCTTAATTAGGTTTGAGTCCAGACACTTGGAATTGTCCTAATGGACTGGACATTAGAACTATAAACACTAGTCATGGCATAAGTAGATGCATAAATAAGCATGATGCATTATTAGGAAACTGAAAATGGGAGACATCTGTGTGGAAGAATGATATAATATGGCTTTCAGAAGTACTATATGATCATAATATCTTTATTTTTTCATGAAGCCTTTAGGTAGACCTTTTGTTTTCATGTTTATTTTTATTTGATAATGTTATTTCCTCTTTAATTGTATGTATGTGTATCATTGTGAGTATGAAAAATAAGAGAATATTGTGAAATAATTTACAATTGTGTATGATTGTATGTTCACAATATGTGAAATTGCAAATTATTTCACAAAGATTTCTCAATTGTGTATCCTCAAAATAGTATGTTTACAATATATATTCACTTTATTTTAACGCGTAGGGAGCCACGAGCTGTTCCTTTATTAATATATATAT